AGGCGGGGAGGGAACAGTTATTGGGCACGGGAAAGGAGCACACAAACACAGTGACGGTCACAGACAGACGAAGGAACAGGCGTGCGGACACACACATTAGAGCTCAAAACAGTGGATAGGGCATGATGTGTAACAGACGAAACACACGTGCACAAATAGACAGACCCGGTCAATGGCACCGGGTCAGCATGCTGAAACTATGGCGAATAATGTGTGCCGATGTGTGTAGGTATGAAGCGTTGACGAAAGAAGGCACGGGTATGGAACAGTGAAACCACCAGAGTTGGTGACCTTGATGGCACATGACTGATCGACCGCGAATATGTGTGTGTGCTGATGAGGCAAACTGGGCAGATAGGTTTATCGATGTGTGGACGAATCTCGTGTCGTGCGCAGACTGGTCGATACCAAACCGGTTGGAGCGACTGAGGATCGATCGAGTTTATCTAGCTTACGTTGCAGGCGTGCGTTTATCATTTTGTAGTCCTCTAGTTCACTTTTCACTTCTCGCATCTGTGAAGGGAAAAGAAGATGCAGACATTATTAAACAAGCACAATAACCTTCTCAACAGGAACGAGCAAGCCCGCTGGCCAAAAAAATTACCGACATGAACCGGTACAATGCTACTCAAAACCTACATTGCATTATGGGTGCACGCCTATCTCTTACCAACTCGTAACAAAGAACAACTCAGCAAGCCTGGTAAATCTGTGCACCTTTGCGAATTCTCAAAGGCCTCTTCGGATCTCGTTAGTCAGTAAGTAGTTTCATATTCCCGTCCGACAACTGGTGATTAGCGAATGGAATAAATGTAATCAAAATTATTCGAGAGGTCTAGGGTCAATCGAGGTAGCGGGACCAGCGACTTGTGTACGAATGAAGCAATGCGACAGATTAATGAGATGTGCTGTGTTGGTTCACACTGATAGCGGAACCAGAAGGTGGATGCGGTGATTGTGCCGTGATAAGCAACTTGTTTTCAACCAACAATCACGAAGGTAATGTCGTTGTTTGAGATAAAAAAGAAAGTTATCGTCAAAGCGCTTTCCTTTATAAACAATATTTTGAACAAGCATAGCTGAAGTGTACCTTGAAAACACGAGTAGATTTGTCCGGCAAAACCAGTTGGCAATCGTTTGTATAAGCAGATACGGGACGGATAGTACGACTCACGAAAACGAGAAGACGGGGAATTGGTTAAAAATGCTGTGAATGAAGGTGACTTTTACTTGAAACCCTGTGTGGAGAAGCAGTTTGGCAGACTGGTGATTAGTCTTCGAACGATTTAAAGTACGTGCACACATTGGTAGTTGGAATTTAAAAAAAACTATTAGTCCGAAAATGATGAAAAATTGAACAGTCCCTGATGAACATAACATTAAAAATCGATTCGCAACAAATTATTACACGAGATCACAACCAGGAAAAAGTCGTCCAACTTTTACGACAAACCGGATCCTATCACCCATCCTACCATCGATTAGAACAACATATAACACAGGGCACGGTTGATAACTCACCTGCCGAATATGCTGTCGGATTTCTTGTTTCAATTCCGCTTCTTCTTTTTCGAAAGATTCCGCAATCGTTTTGTACCGCTTATTTTGGCCCTCTAGACGTACGATCTAGATGACAAAATGTAACAGACAAGTGAGTGAGGCCCCGGACAATGCGCATATCAATCATCAACTCAGACATACAAGAAATAATATACGCTGGTGCACGAAATTCTACAACCCCATTATATGAAAAAATATTGATCGAAAACAACGTGATCAGGTACGAATCGTAATGCATTAGTCACATTACTGGAGGCTTACATCACTTTCCAAAGCGGTGTTGCGTTGCAATGCTTCTTGTAGCTTGTACTTGTATTCTTGAGCTTGCGATCGAAGATCTGGAAAATGAGAGAGGGATGGGGTAACGAAAAACCGGATTATTCGGGAGAAGTGTCAAGGTAAAACACAGAGAGAATGTCTCTAAATCCGGTGAGGCATATTGGCAGGGAGTGCATACACGCACTGAAGTTGTCCAAATCAAGGAGTTATACACATCTACTTAGGTGATCCGGTTGTTTCGTTCACTGATTTGTGTGTGACGGAGTGTATGTAAATGAACAGTCAACGGTATGAAAACATTGCGATGGGGCAACTAAAACAATCATAATGGAAAGCGCCCGCACCTGCACTTGCACACAGACGCACACGAACAATTCGATCGTTTGACGCGAAATATACGGTACATGCGGTGGTGGGTCAATAACAGAGCTTAGGTAGCATGTACAAGGCCCCGCAAGCAGACCAGATGCGAGTAGACCCGATTCATGGATAAAAGTGGCTGGGGGAATCCGTTTGTCTGTAACGTGAAATGTAATCACATCTACTAGTTCGGGGAGAATGCCGAAGCCATTGCCGAACATGGAAATGAACACGTTCAACTGTTAGCATATCAGGAACAATGTCTTTATTTCCATGGTCAGATGAGATAGAACACGTGATTTCTTACACACAATGTAATCTCAATCGGGTTTAAACAATAAACCAATCATGATGAACCAGACAACATGAGAGCACATCTGATTGCTTAAAAGAGAAAAAGTAATCACGATAACCTCCTGACCTGCAGATTGCAGGAGCATTGTGCTGATCATCAAGCGACTGCCGATGGAGAGTTATCGTTATGACTCGCGTTGAAATACATAAATACCAATCTAATAATATCTTCAATGAAAAATTATGATAAAAATTGTCCTGTAAACGCACGATCGATTTCATGGTGGGTGCATGAGTTGTGGCTGGTCACCCTTCCCTTGCTCCTGACGAATCGCCCCCATACAACTAAGCGTCTCAAACTCTGCCCTACTCATTACCTTCCCGGGGCGGAGGTGTTTTCCCACCCAGGTGATAGGACGAAAAACCAACATCTGGGCTAGAACCGGGTCAGTGAACCACTGGCAATTTACCCTCAGGGAGTTGGCTCAAAACCTTGCTTCCAAAGCAACCAACAAGTGGCGTACGAATACGCACACTTATACCCTACTGGTTGTGGCAGTGGTCACCGACTCAACTGGGCTTAGAGGTGTATCTAGCACCCTAAACGTTTGATCCCATCTGTCTGTGAAGGGTCGAGTGTATGCTGCAGCAGTTCGGCCAGTCCTGCTCTACGACGCAGAGACTTGGCCACTAATGGAACAGGATAAAAATAGATTGTCGGTGTTCAAACACCGCTGTCTACGTAGCA